GGGTGGAGGGCAAGTGGTTAAAATCTAACCTGATCTCGGAAGCAGGCAGGGTCCATTTAGGTTGTTTGCATCTGAAGCCTGCTTGTGTTTATTTCTGGGATTCAGTGCAGCTCAGCATGCTCCTCTCCATCTCGCGCATGCGCAGTAATGACACTGCGCAGCGAAGTTTCTTCATGACAGGTTGCCATAGCAATGGCGACCTCAGCTGAAGTTCTCAGTTATGGCAAGCTCTCCCGATCACGTCATTTCCGGTCATAAAATAACGGGAGATTTCAGCATTAGGTAATTCCCATGGACTCCTGGGATAGATGACGCAGGAGCTGGACAGGAAGTGCCACATGCACAGCTCTAGATAAGGTATTTACAAAAAAAAAAAAAAGATACTAGCCAATTATAAATGCACTGCAGATAACGATGTAGATGAAAGGAAATTGTAAAAATGAGTGGAACTCTGCTTTAAACAGCATATACACACTGGCTGAAATTAGGGATGCCCCGATATGTTGGAAGCATCCCTATGTATGTATGTATCGGCCAAAAAAGTCTTATCGGCGTTTTGCCAATAGGGAAAAAGGTGCCGATAATGACCACCAATAAACGCACAATTTTACCCCTGATTTTGCTGTGATTTTATCACATTTAGGGTGCATTTTTCATAGGTCATGTAACTAAAAAAAAAAACAAACTCAACGTGTACATTTTTTTTTTTCTTCTCTTGGCCAACTTGTTCCTGAACAATATACGTGATTTTGCGCACCCATGCTGCCCTGTAGCAGTATATCTGCAATAGGGTGGTCGGGAAGCGGTTAAAGGAGAAGTTCATCAGAACCAGATCGCTGGTGCCATGCAGGACTCCTGTCAGTGTATCTCTGGGCTCAAACACAAGAATCAATGAACCGCCACAGTGCTCAACACCATGGTAGTTCTTTGAGAATTACAAGCTGACAGCCACAATGGCTGTCGGAACTTATAGTTTTCCCATTCACAAAATACTGTAAATGAGTGCACAGCCAGTCGGGTGGGCAGAAACCCGCACTGCCACATTTTTTAAAAATTGTGACAGAGGGGGAAGATGATCCCCTGCTGTCACAGCGGTGGCCGATCCTTTTTGTTACATGTTACACCTTAAATATGGATGTAATGTGTACGAAAGGTTAACTTATCCTTTACGCCTTAAAGTATATGCTCCTGTTCAATCTGCACTGTACAGCCCCTAATAAGCCATTAAACCACTTACTGTTATACTTAAAAGATCACTAAAATAGAATTATTATTGGCTCACAAAAAAAAAAAAAAGGTAAAAAATACTTTTAGCTCACACTGTCAGACTAGAACCCTTGTCTGGCTCACAATATTACACATCTAGAAGCTGTGTGACAGATGGCCACACCTGTTATTAAAAGTATCTTATTAAAATGCTATTAGTGTAACTACTTGGTTTTGACTTGTATGGGCCTCATGTTTTACTTTGCACAGTAGCACTCTTGACAGAAAAAGGGAGGGGCAGACCTAGTAGCTTATCAGATGTGCTGCATGTAAATGTGCTGACAGGTGGAGGAAAGAAAGTGATGAGCTCAACCTACTGCTCCATCACTGACTGATCACACTGTTATTTAACTGCATTGGAGATACACTATATTGCCAAAAGTATTGGGACGCCTGCCTTTCCACACACATGAACTTTAATGGCCTCCCAGTATTAGTCCGTAGGGTTCAATATTGAGTTGGCCCATCCTTTGCAGCTATAACTGCTTCAACTCTTCTGGGAAGGCTGTCCACAAGGTTTAGGAGTGTGTCTATGGGAATGTTTGACCGTTCTTCCAGAAGTGCATTTGTGAGGTCAGGCTCTGATGTCAGATGAGAAGACCCGGCTCACAGTCTCCACTCTAATTCATCCCAAAGGTGTTCTACCGGGTTGAGGTCAGGACTCTGTGCAGGCCAGTCAAGTTCCTCCACCAAACTCACTCATCCATGTCTTTATGGACCTTGCTTGGTGCACTGGTGTGCAGGCATATTGGAACAGGAAGGGGCCGTCCCCAAACTGTTCCCACAAAGTTGGCAGCAGGAAATTGTCCAAAATGTCGCCTTAAGAGTTCCCTTCACTGGAACTAAGGGGCCAAGCCCAACCCCTGAAAAACAATCCCCCCTCCACCAAACTTTACACTTGGCACAATGCAGTCAGGTGAGTACCGTTCTCCTGGCAACCGCCAATCCCAGACATGTTAATTGGATTGCTAGGCAGGTAAGCATGATTCATCACTCTAGAGCACGTGTCTCTACTGCTCTAGAGTCCAGTGGCAACATGCTTTACACCACGGCATCCGACGCTTTTAATTGCACTTGGTGATGTAAGGCTTGGATGCAGCTGCTCGGCCATGGAAATCCATTCCATGAAACTCTGTACACACTGTTGTGCTAATCTGAAGGCCACACAATGTTTGGAGGTCTTTAGCTTTTGACTCTGCAGACAGTTAGCAACTTCTGTGCGCTTCAGCATGCGCTGACCCTGCGTTGTCATTTTATGTGGCCTACCACTTCATGGCTGAGTTGCTGTTCCCAGTTGCTTCCACTTTGTTATAATACCACTAATAGCTGACCATGGAATATTTATTAGCAAAGAAATTTCACGGCTGGAATTATTGCACAGGTGGCAACCTATCACGGTACCACGCTTGAATTCACTGAGCTCCTGAGAGCGACCCATTCTTTCACAAATGTTTATAGAAGCCGCCTGCATACCTAGGTGCTTAATTTTATACCCCTGTGGCTATGGAGGGGATTGACACACCTGAAACCAATGATTTGGAGGGCTGGCCCAATGCTTTTGGCAATATAGTGTATGTTGGGTGACTAGACTGGCTATGCGATCAGTCAGCACAGTTTGAATCTCAGGGCTGTCTGGACAGAGATACAAATACTTAGGATGATAAAATGGCAAATACATGTGTATTTAACTTTATATTTAGTTACTTTCCTGGAGTTCAGCATGCTTTTTTTTTCAGAAATAATGCATTTGTAGATCCTTGGCTTACATACCTAAGTTACTAACGCTGACCATACATTGCTTAGTTTTTTTGTTGTGTGGTGTTTTTTGTTTTTTTTTTTTTTTTTGCAGCCAGTGGGCTGAACAGACAAAAATTCTCCATCTCCACATTGAGTGGATGGAGAAATCCTCCCAGCTGTGTCATTGTGGGGACTCTCCTGCTGTCAATACACTGATCAGCCCTGCAGCCCATTGGTTTTATGCACTGATCGAGCATTTTGTTTTTCCCCCCAACAAGCTCATTCAAGAAAAATCTATTGGTAGATCAACTTCTCGTGTATGGGAATGGCTTTACATGGGTAGAAACTTGGCTGAACCAGCTGAATTGTGATCTATGTGTGTTCAGCTTTAGTATGGTTTCACTTTTTGCAGATTTGCATGAAAATGTATCTCAAGAAACATTAGCACCTGTTGTCTAACCAGATCTTAAAAATAGTTTTTACATTTTAAACCTTTTTTACAAGCTATTTTTACCATAGCAGGTTGAAATGTATGTAGCTTCTGAAATATGAGCAGGTCTTGACATCATGGATCCTCTTCTCCATCTACACAACTCCTCCCTTGGCCAGCTGATAAACTCCCAAGGCTTCAACTACCATCTCTATGCTGATTACACACAAATTATCTCTCTACCCCTCACCTCACCCCCTCAGTCTCCAATCGCATCACCAGCCTACTAAGTGACATATTGGACTGGATGTCACTCCATTTCCTCAAACTCAACCTTTCCAAAACTGAACTCCTAGTATTCCCCCCCCCCTCCCTTTATTATATCACGCCTTGGCTACTGTAACTCCCTCCTCACTGGCCTACCTCATCCCAGGCTATCCCCACTCCAGTCCATCATGAATGCTGCCGCCAGACTCATTCACCTTACTAACCGCTCTGTATCTGCCAATCCCTCCACTGGCTCCCAATTTCTCAACGGATAAAATTCAAAACACTGACGTACAAAGCTGTTCATAACACTGCCCCAAATTACATAGCCGATCTTGTCTCTAAATATCGCCCAAACCGTACTCTCTGCTCCTCGCAAGACCTCTTACTGTCTAGCTCCCTTGTCTCCTCCTCCCTTGCCCGTCTCCAGGATTTCTCAAGGGCTTCACCCATCCTCTGGAACTCCCTACTCCAATCTATCAGGCTATCGCCTACTCTACTCACTTTTAGGCGTACTCTGAAAACCCATCTGTTCAGGGAAGCCTATGCTGCCCTCAGCTAATACTGGAATCTTCTACTCTTCCTACTACTCCATCCCCCACAGCTAATTATCTCTTGTACCACTATCCCCTCCCTCCTAGATTGTAAGCTCCAAGGAGCAGGGCCCTCCTATCCCTCTTGTATTGAACTGTATTGTTACTGTACTGTCTACCTCCATAATGTAAAGCGCTGAGCAAACTGACAGTGCTATATAAGTCCTGTATAATAATAATTGGATCCCCAATTTTATTTTGGTTAATCCTTCCTCCACGTCAATGCAGCCTTTACAAGCCTTTGTTTTCATTCTTCCATATGTAGTAGTAACCTTTTGTTTGAATGCTGTGGACACTGTGTCAATTTCTTCTCCAATTATGGATGATGGACTACTTTTAAAGTGGCCTTACCCCCCACAAAGTTACTTGAAAACATGTATACTTACCTTTCCAGAGGCCCTTATCTTCAAGCTGCTGCTCGCTTGCCTCCTCAGGTATTTTCTACTTCTGGATGTGTGGAATATCTGATTACCCACTGTGTGCTGTTTCTTTCCAAGGCTTTGTAAGTCCTGCAGTGGTATACCAGCCAGTGAGAGAAGAGTGTATATTGTTGGATGGGTTATGTGATCCCACTGGAATTTTTTTTATTTTTTTTATCTGTACTTTCCAAGGCTGGCAGTCCAAAGTAAAATTGTTACCCAATTGTCAGAATATTGTATGTATTAAAAATCGAACCATTACAGTGCGGTTTTAAATTTTTGCTTTAGATGAAGGAAACAATCATGAATCAAGAAAAGTTAGCCAAACTGCAAGCACAAGTGCGAATTGGTGGAAAGGTAAGCTCCTTTTCTTTCTGTTTTACGTTATAGAAATACAGTGCATCCTAAACACCTTAGTTATGGTTCTAGATATCACGTTTCCCTGCTTGTAATTGGTCCTTTGATTTCCCTTTTAAAGCAGGTAAAATATTTGTCGGTGTTTTTTTTTTTTTTTCCTGCATGTAAAGCCAGGAAATGGTACAATCTAGTAGGGGGGGGGAGGATATTGAAGAGGGATACTGTTTTATCCGTAACATGACCATAGTACTCTGATAAGCCAGTCTATCTGATAGGATAGACATATACTTTCATAAGGAACTTATTCATCTGCTCACTCTACAGTTTTCTTATTAAATGCAAAACTGACTGTAATGCTCCCTATGTAAAGTGCTGTGCAAACTGTTGGCGATTTTTATATATATATATATATATATATATATATATATATATCCTGTATAATAATATTTTCACCAATTTCAGCTTTTATCAGAGATGTCTGTTAGTTTTGGTGATGGGTACATAGACGAATATACTTTACAGAGAATTGCAAAAAAATTGCACAATTGTTCAGTTCATGTATCCCAATTTACAGGATAACTGTGCAATCCTGCCCACTAGTACTTATCCAGTTTCTTTGTATTGAAGACTAGCAAGACAACCTATGCAATTCTCCACCAGTCAAACGGTTCTGTTAAATCTGTATATGCTTCTTAATATCAGATGTTTATCTCAAGTCCTTTTGGGGTAACCAATTATTGTTGTACTGAAGTCCATTTTGCTGTCTGCTGACTATAATGGGACCCATATTAGAATGTAATCCAAGTGGGCATGTTCACCACCATCAAACAATGTCCACCAAACCAATGCATCTCTCTAGGTTTGTAGTACTAGAAATTTTATATAAGTTATACTTGGAAAAATAAGCTTTGTTGATATGAGACTGAGCTGTGTTGCTTCAAAGTTAAAAACTCTTCACATTTTTTTTTTATTCTTCCACCCTTTTTAAGGGGACGGCCCGCAGAAAGAAGAAGGTTGTCCACAGAACAGCTACTGCAGATGATAAGAAACTACAGTTCTCGTTGAAAAAGCTGGGTGTGAATAACATCTCTGGCATAGAAGAGGTGAGTCCTTTAGAACTGGAACTATGAAACTATGTGGAGTTCATTACTGCCAATCTTTGCAACATTGCCCACACAATCGGCTACAAATGTCAGTGCAGTCAGTGATGGAAGCATTAAAAGACTGGGTAATACTATTTGTTATGTCGCTACAGAAACCATGCAACAAGTGCTTTGACTTGGGCCATTTGAGGTATCCTTAACTGCGGGAGCAGATAGGTCCCTCACCCTTTTTACTCATGTCTTCCTAAGTGTAGGGTATTAAATTCTTTCTAGTGCGTAGGTCCATCTTTTTTTTTTTTTTTTTTTTTTTTTTTTCCCTTTTTAAGGTTGTTTTTTTATTGGTAACTACCAAGACCATGTACATTTGTAGCATAGTATGCACTTCATTCCTGGTATCTGTTAGGTGCTACTGAATGGGTTTCTCAATCTGGGTGACCTAGTGCACTGGCTGAGCTCTTCCAAGAACACTCGGCTACAAATATTAGCCATAATTGGCCACCTCAGTCAAGGAAATTAAGGCATGGTCTGGGATTATAATGATAATGGTGGAAGGACTTCATTGCTTACAGTTCAGTTTTATATCCTCAGTAACACTTCTGCGGCAAGGCAGTGTAACAGCCAGAGAGATTCCAAATAATTCATAAAAAAATGTCTGGTACATTTTTTTTTTTTTTTTGCACACAAAGATCCACATATGTTTGTTGAAATCTTCCCTTTAAAGTGAACAAGCAAATATACAGTCAGGTCCATAAATATTGGGACATCAACACAATTCTAACATTTTTGGCTCTATACACCACCACAATGGCTTTGAAATGAAATGAACAAGATGTGCTTTAACTGCAGACTGTCATCTTTAATTTGTGGGTATTCACATCCAAATCGGGTGAACGGTGTAGGAATTACAACAGTTTGCATATGTGCCTCCCACTTGTTAAGGGACCAAACGTAATGGAACAGAATAATAATCCTAAATCAAACTTTCACTTTTTAATACTTGGTTGCAAATCCTTTGCAGTCAATTACAGCCTGAAGTCTGGAGCGCATAGACATCACCAGATGCTGGGTTTCATCCCTGGTAACGCTCTGCCAGGCCTCTACTGCAACTGTCTTCAGTTCCTGCTTGTTCTTGGGGCATTTTCCCTTCAGTTTTGTCTTCAGCAAGTGAAATGTATGCTCAATCGGATTCAGGTCAGGTGATTGACTTGGCCATTGCATAACATTCCACTTCTTTCCCTTAAAAAACTCTTTGGTTGCTTTTGCAGTATGCTTTGGGTCATTGTCCATCTGCACTGTGAAGAGGCGTGTCCAATGAGTTGTGAAGCATTTGGCTGAATATGAGCAGATACTATTGCCCGAAACACTTCAGAATTTCATCCTGCTGCTTTTGTCAGCAGTCACATCATCAATAAATACAAGAGAACCAGTTTCATTGGCAGCCATACATGCCCCACGCCATGACACTACCACCACCATGCTTCACTGATGAGGTGGTATGCTTAGGATCATGAGCAGTTCCTTTCCTTCTCCATACTCTTCTCTCCCCATCACTCTGGTACAAGTTGATCTTGGTCTCATCTGTCCATAGGATGTTGTTCCAGAACTGTGAAGGCTTTTTTAGATGTCGTTTGGCAAACTCTAATCTGGCCTTCCTGTTTTTGAGGCTCAGCAATGGTTTCCATCTTGTGGTGAACCCTCTGTATTCACTCTGGTGAAGTCTTCTCTTGATTGTTGACTTTGACACACATACACCTACTTCCTGGAGAGTGTTCTTGATCTGGCCAACTGTTGTGAAGGGTGTTTTCTTCACCAGGGAAAGAATTCTTCGGTCATCCACCACAGTTGTTTTCCGTGGTCTTCCGGGTCTTTTGGTGCTGCTGAGCTCACTGGTGCGTTCCTTCTTTTTAAGAATGTTCCAAACAGTTGTTTTGGTCACACCTAATGTTTTTGCTATCTCTCTGATGGGTTTTGTTTTGTTTTTTTAGCCTAATGATGGCTTGCTTCACTGATAGTGACAGCTCTTTGGATCTCATCTTGAGAGTTCACAGCAACAGATTCCAAATGCAAATAGCACACTTGAAATAAACTCTGGACCTTTTATCTGCTCATTGTAATTGGGATAATGAGGGAATAACACACACCTGGCCATGGAACAGCTGAGAAGCCAATTGTCCCATTACTTTTGGTCCCTTAACAAGTCGGAGGCACATATGCAAACTGTTGTAATTCCTACACCGTTCACCTGATTTGGATGTAAATACCCTCAAATTAAAGCTGACAGTCTGCAGTTAAAGCACATCTTGTTCGTTTCATTTCAAATCCATTGTGGTGGTGTATAGAGCCAAAAATGTTAGAATTGTGTCGATGTCCCAATATTTATGGACCTGACTGTATGATTCCACTCTAAATGGTGTATGCTAACAATAGCCAGAAAAGAGATTTGATATAATTCCTACAACTGTTTTGTGTACTCAGTAGCTATAATAAAAGTAAATGAGTATAAAGTACAATTAGATACTGGAGATGCTCCAGGATCCCTGCTGTACTGCTAATTTGTTCAAAAGTTGGCATTTGGTCATGTGACTCCTTAAAGTGGTTCTAAAGGCTAGATCTTTTTTGCCTTAAGAATTGCTTGCATTAAAGCCCTACTTCAGGCAAATAAAAAGTTTTCCCATGCATTACATGGGTCAACTGCTCATTTTGTCTAGGGTTCAGGAGAAAATTTATACTTGCCTGATCCTTCATTCCACCACAAAACTGCTCCCCCACAGTCCAGCAGTGGACTGTTCCTGGTATGTGGAGCCTGCTCAGGGTTTGATGTCCACAACTCAAGACTGCTGGAGGGGGGGAGTGCTGGAAGGATTAAGTAAATCTTTATAGTCTCCCCTAGAAGTAAACGAGCAGTTAGCCCCACTGCATTGAAAAACGTTTTTGCTCAGCAATCGTATCGCCCCCCCAATACTTTCCTGAATTCTCACTCAATCCATTGCTGTGCCTGTCTGTAGCAGCTTTCTTCCCTCCCCCTGCTCTCCCAGGCTTTGCTGAGGCAGTAGGCGCCATTGCTTCCTGCTGGTGTCAATCAAATCCTGTGAGGAGGGTGAAGCCGAGCTGCTCTGTCTGTTAATGGATGCGTTTGGGAACTAGACCGTTTCATAACTCTTAACAGCTGACACATCCACAAGTATGCACTAGAGACACAGGGATCTAGAGCACACCATTTATATAAATGTATAATACACACTAATAGGCTGAGGACATTTGTTTTATACTCCTATTTCTTGATTGTCTTTTTAGGTCAATATGTTTACAAACCAAGGGACGGTAATACACTTTAACAATCCCAAAGTTCAGGCTTCCTTGGCTGCCAACACCTTCACCATTACAGGTCACGCTGAGACCAAACAGCTCACAGAGATGTTGCCCAGTATCTTGAACCAGCTTGGAGCAGACAGCCTCACCAGCCTGCGAAGACTTGCAGAGGCCCTGCCGAAACAATGTAAGTGAATGGAGCATTTAATGCGAGAGGTTATGACGAAACTGATTGCACGTCTGTAAAATGCTTGGCTTGAATGTCTACAAACCTTCTGATAAACACAAAATGGCTGTTTAACTGGCTGCTGTTTAGCTTTCACTTCGCTTTCTAAAGTGAACAAATCCCAGTCCAAACACAGAAGGCAGCCAGGAAACTAGCATTAAAAGAGATCAGCAAATGGATGCTTATACTGTATTTCTTAATGGGTTTCCCTTGATATTGGCTGTAGTTTGCTTGTTACCAAAAGGCTATAGCTCTCTTTGGTTAGAGAAAACAGCAAACGCTTACTTTAAACACTACTTTTGGTTCTGTAGGCCAGTGTTTGTTAGGGTTCTGTTTCCAAATTCTCTATAGACAAACTCCTATTTTTATTTGTTTTAAATTCACAGTAGTTGGCAGCATAAGCTGTTGGCACATACTGATTGCTGCAGCCTTCTGTATAAGCCTTTCTTACATAGGTGCACTCCTTCCGACCCCCAGATGAGTGCATGAGTCTGCTTGTAGGACATTGCGTTTGGGAGGAAGTAGAATAACTGTGTGAGGCTTTGAGGGTCACTAGAAGTTCTGTAGCAGCTGGCATATGCTGACAACATATATTATGTGCTTACCACTCCGCTTTTTATAATACAGGCAGTCCTTGAGTTATGAGCATTGGAGTTATGAAGGACTCCTACTTGTGAACAGAGGGAGAAACAAGAAGTGAGAGGAAATTTCCCCTAGAAAGGGAAATTCACTCCTGTAAGAGTTATCATGGGAAAAAGGTTTCTCCACTGAAGGTTTGCCATTCCTTGTTTTCACGACAACCCAAAATTTTCAAAATCCAATTGTCACAGGGACAGAAAGTGAGGTGAAATCTTCTGAACAAAAGCACAGACAGCAAAACAAATATTACAGGGGTTTTACCCTTCCCTATGCTATCCAAAAAAAAAAGTAGTCATTTTTTTGGCTGGAGCTACGCTTAAAAGCCTGTTCCAACTTGCATACACCAAATACCTGTTCCAACTTGCATACAAATTCAACTTGAGAACAAACCTACAGACCTTATTGTGTTCATAACCCAGGAACTGGCTGTAGATTTTTAGATTTTGACGTGTACTCTTTGAATTTGGGCAAAATAGTTGATATGGTTATCCATTGCTGCCAGCTTCCTCAAGGAAATATGGGAGAGTGAGACCGTGCATCACGAACTTCTGTGTGCCCATAGTGCTAGGTATATCCAGAATTCCCATCCTGACAGCACAGGAGCCACCTGTTTTTTTTTTTTTGTTTTGTTTTTTTTTTTAAATGTAACGTGTTCAGTTTTTAACAGATTATTGTTCAATCACAACAATACAAATTATAATTTGTAGTTGGCTTAGTATCTTTTAGACATTGATTCATTTTTTGCGGTTCACTTGGCTAAACTAATTCACTCAAGTTATGACCAAGAATTGAATAAAAATAAAGCCAACAAATTGATTTATTTTCACATCATGTTGTCTGGTGCTCATTGGTAAAGCCAAACCGCTCTTGATTATTGAATATGGATATTGGTTTAAAGATTTGGGGATCATGATAATACTATTGTATAGGAAAGGGGTATTAAATTAACATTCATGGAGGTCAGGTCGCTAAAATTTATTTCCAGCTGTGCTGTGGATTGAATCTCAAGCTTGTGCTATGAGTCAGAAAGATTGTAGTCCTTGTAGGTCTGTCAAGTTCCACCATCATAGTGCACCTATAGATCCAATTAACCACTTCCTGCCTGGCCAATAGGAAAATGCCGGGCGGGACTCTGTCAATCCGGGTGTGCGTCATATTACGTCCTTCCTGGATTGTGCCTTGCGTGTGCCCGCAGGGCTGCGCTTTGGCGAGATCTGTCACCGTCTGCATACTGTGGGCACAGCCGATGACAGATCTGTGTACCGGCCCGTTGCCAGTACCAATCACAGCAGGTCACATAACAGTTGTAAACAATGGATGGCTTCGTTTCATGCCATCTATTGTATACAATTGTCACTAGCTGTGATCCGTCACAGTGATCATATGCACGGACTGGGCCAATCACAGCCCATCTGTGTTATGTGATTAGTCGTGGCCAATCACTGCTAATCACAACAAAAATACCTGATACAATCGATTTCATTCCGTTAAATGCTTGCTTATAGCAAAGAAAGTCTTTGATATAAGCAATATTGTGGAAAAAATAAATACTGATCGCTTCCCCAAAGTGGCACAATGTTACTATGATAACATTGTACTACTTTTGAGTCATAGTGTAATATGAAAAGAAAATAGTAAAAAGAAAAACATTTAATAAAATAAAAAAAAACACTTTTTTTTTTTTTTTTTTTTGTACTGTCACCAGTCAGTGTCCCTGATCACCACCACACCAGTTATGACGTTGTACTGCACTGGTGACTAGCAACCAATGACTGCTGAGCAGCAGGGATCTCGTGCTGCAGACTGGCAGTCTGGATCTGCGAATTAGTGAAGGCTGATATGGGATACAGTTAACCTCTTTGCATACACTTTTCATAGCATCCTTTTATAATCCTGTTTTTATCCAGGTCCATTATCAATTTAAAAAAAAATAGCAATACTTGGCTTTTATTAATTCTTGTAATAGTTTTTCACAGATCTTATTTCACGATCCTAATATAATAAAGATGTAGCTTAATATAAATCTACCTTCATTGGTATGATACATGTGGGCCATAGATCAGATCATTCCAGAACCTTTGATCGAAAATGACTGCAAATAAAAAGCACAATCGCTTATTCTTCCCATAAATTGCACTTCATTTTGTGAAAGCTGTTGTGGTTTTTTTTTTTTTGGCTTTATGTACTTTCACTAATGCTGTGATGCCATTGTGTAGAACGACTGCATCATTTTTTATTGAAAGACCAACTAAGCATTTAAGCAGTATTAAAACAAAAAAACAGGATTTATTATATTGCAGCTTTCCAAATCTTGGATGTGATGGCTGCATTAGTTTTTCTTTTTTAGGCTTTCTTCCCTTTTTTTGTTTTCCTGCTGATCTGGCCAGTAAGTCTGTTATTTCAAAAGCACAAACTCTCCTTCAGATATTCGTTGAGTGCTGGGAAAACCATTTTAGCACTGACAGGGGTGTGTGTACAATGATCAGCTTACATTTATTCATGTAAAACCTTTATCCCAAAAGAGAACTATTGCTGTAACTGCAGTGTGAGCTGGAGTTTGGCATCAATTTGTTAAGTGTATTTAAAGTACAAGTTCATCTTTAAAAAAATTTTTTTTTTTTGCAGGTACAAAAGTGCATTTATTATTTTATTAGGAGTCTGTAAAGCATTGCTCATTTAGTAACATGTTACACCCTGGCTAGGGGTGTAACCTGGTATGAAAAGTGATGTTATCCTTTAAAACTGCTAGTCCATTCAACTCTCCCCCAGATGAACAATGCTTCTGTCCAAAGGTGCCACCCTGTGCTCCTTCATCCAGAGCGGGGGGCGCTCTAATACAGGAGGTGTGTTACTGGCCAGATTACAAGGGTGAAAACAGGAAAAAAAGCTAATGCAGCCACCAAATCTAAGGCTGCATCCACACTTCAGTGTTTTGTAGCTCGAAGCTCCAAAAAAGCTCAAACTTTAAAAATCAATTTTTCTCTATGGTGCCTGTTCGGCGATCAGATGTGAACAGGCACCATAGAGAACAATTTAGTTTTTTAAGTGAACTTTTTTGGAGCTTCGAGCTTCAAGCTACAAAACACTCGTGTGAATGCAGCCTAAGGAAGCTGCAATACATTCCATATCCTTAAAGCAGTATTAAACCCAAAACCAAAAATGTAAAAGATGCATTCTGAAAAACTTATACGTTTTTGCCCACCCAAAAAATATTTTAGCCAAGTAGCCGGTCTAGTGGGATAGATGACCCACTACTGGCTTCAGAAGATCCTTTACTTATTCATGAACTGTACTGGCTTCCTATAAGTTTTGGTCTCTAGCGGTGAAATCTGCTTTTGTTCCTTCTTGCCTGAAGATGTGTCCGTTCTTCCTTTAACCACTTGCCTACCAGGCACTTATACCCCCTTCCTTACCAGGCCAATTTTCAGCTTTCAGCGCTGCCGCACTTTGATTGACAATTGCGCGGTCATGCAAGATTGTACCCATATGAAATTTTGATCATTTTTTTCTCACAAATAGAGCTTTCTTTTGGTGGTATTTAATCGCCACTGGGCGCTTTACTTTTTGCGCTATAAATTAAAAAATGTGCAAAAAATTAAAAAAAAAAAAAAAAAGTTTATTTGTTTCTTTTATAAAATTTTTCAAACAGGTATTTTTTTTTTCTCCTTCACTGATTTGCGTTGATGAGGCGGCACTGATGGGCACTGATAGGCGGCACTGATGGGCACTGATAGGCAGCACTAAAGGGCACTGATAGGCAGTACTAATGAGGTGGCACAGATAGGCGGCACTGATAGACAGCACTAATTAGGGGTCACGGATAGGCGGCACTGATATGCAGCACTGATAGGCGGCACTGATAGGTGACACCGATGATGGGTACTGATAGACGGCACTGACTGGCATCACTTCTGGGCACTGACTGGCGGCACTGGCTGGCTCAACCCCTGGGCACTGGTGGGCGGCACTGGTGGGCGGCACTGGTGGGCGGGCACATGTGGGTGGCACTGCTGGGCACATGTAGGTGGCACTTCTGGGCACAGGTAGGTGGTACTGCAGAGTGGCACAGGTGGGGGCACTGCTGGGCACAGGTGGGGGCACTGCTGGGAACGGGTGGGCGGGGCTAGTGGGCGCACTGCTGGGCGGAACTTGCGGGTGTCACTGCTGGGCACCGATCATCAGGGCACTGATCATCAGTGCCCTGATGATCGGTGCCGATCCCCGCTCTGACAACTGCCGGTTCTCGGCAGTACTTTCCTCACGATCTGACAGCGTGAGGAAAGTGCAGCCGAGAACCGGCACTTGCATTTCCCTGTGATCAGCGTGTCATTGGACACCGCTGATCACGTGGTAAAAGGCCGGTGGGATCGGCCTTTCACCACATCACGTGATCAGCTGTGTCCGTAGGACACAGCGATCACGGAGATCTCCGGGTGCGCGCCCCCTGGGGCGCGCAGGAGAGCGCGTTCTGGGAGGACGTCATATGACGTCCACTCAGAACTGGCCGGCCGCGGTGAAGCCGTCATTCGGCTATGCGCGGTCGGCAAGAGGTTAATGTTTCCTCTACACTGCATGTATTTTAGAGTGAATGGTATAACAAAAGCCGTTTTTTTTTATAGTTTTGGATGCAGTAGAGAGGGGTTAAAACAAGCTGCCAAAGTCGCTGTCTGGTAAGATAACGTTCCAACTCCTGTTCCAGAGATGCGACAGAAGAATATCTGACAAAGTGAGAATTCCCCTCTTGGAGCAGTTGCCCCTGGAACAGGTGTCCGCATTGGAAGATGACTGCTTATAGGAACAAGTCTAAAATCTTGGATTTCTTCCTTGCTGTTTTTTCAGTACAGAGAGGTTAATCTCTTCAGTAAGGACACAGACACAAATTACAAATTGACAGAAGGTCTAATCCTTCCCCACCCCACACTGTCTAAAACGAAAGTTTTCTTACAGATGCTTTAAATAAGCATTTTTAAATGATATTTCTGTAAGGACTGTTCATGTTTCTGTGCTGCTGCCTGGTAACATCCATGGTACATTTTCCAGAGGAATGCTATTGTGTCGTATAAAAAAAAAAGGCAATGTGCAGAACGCAAGCAAAATGCAGTTTTGCCAATTTTAAATTTTAGTATTTTGGGAGAGAGATTTATATTAGTAAAGTACTGTCTTGTGTTGACAATTGGCCTTTTTTTTATTTTAGCTGTAGATGGTAAAGCACCGCTCGCCACCGGGGAGGAAGAAGATGATGAAGTTCCTGGTACGTTTTTTAGATCTTGCCATCACAAATGTTGATATCAAGAATTTTTCTGTAATGATTTGAATGCACTCCACCCCAAGAGTAATTATAGGGGAATAGACCATAGTGATTTGTGGAGTGCAGTTTGATACTGGATTTGTTTTTAAAGCTGAACTCCAGACAGGTGAAGAAAAAAGTTAATAACATAGATTGTTAAAGTGTATGTTGCCCTAAAATGTAGTATTTCAGATGTGTCTTTTCAAGTAGACCTGTGCAATTGTAACTTTATTTGCTAAGAAATACTTAGTATTCCTGCCAGCCCCACTTCCTCCCTATTGCAGTATGACCATGCCAAATACCGAAACCGATTTAAGCTAGCGTGATCAGTTTGCATACCAATTCTTTTTTTCTTGGAGCAACAGGATTTTCTGCTTACGGCATGCCTGTAACCTTCGTAGGCTGTTTAGTAGTAGTGCACCAAAATGAAAATTCTGGACCGAAACCAAAAATTCACGATGCATTTGGCCGAAAACCGAAATGGCCAGTTTTTTTTTTTTTTTTTTTTTGTGTACCTCGGTTTATGAATTTAATGTGTTCTCCGTGACGATTTGTATTGAAAAATTTGTAAACCGAAACGTTTCCCATAGGAATGCATTGAAAACCAATTAATCCGTTCCGGAGGTCAGAAAAAAGTTTGTGGAAAAAAAAAAGCTGTCACTATAGGTCAGTGCCGGTTTTTAAATGTAATTACTGGCTTTTTTTTTCTTCACTATAGCTCAGAGAATCAGCTGTCACTTTCCCCCCAGCAGAAAGAGTTTCCTTATTGTTTCATTTAACTTGGGGAAATAAACTAATGCTAATTCCGAACAATTTTCATACGAAAATCGGACCTAAGAATAATCGGCCAATTTTCACTCTGTTAGTGGGGCAATGGCATTGGCTGATTTTTTTTGTGGTTCCTCCCCATTTCGTTTATTGGGCATGTTGGAAAATGTGTGAAAAACGACTGATTTTCTAAATCATTGGTGGCCGATTTTTGACCCATCTATGGCCTGCATAAGTTTTCTTTCCGTTTGTTTCCCGAGATAAAAGAAACAAAGTATCCTTTAGCTCCGGGGAAAGTGACCGCTAATTCTGTGAGCTATAGTGAGGAAAAAGAAAAGTCAGCAATTGCATTTAAAAATCGGCACCGACATACGCTTCGTATTGCGAAAAAAATTAAATTTGTAAACCGAGACATTATTTTCAATGGATTTTCATTCATAAACCGAAAATTACGTTAACAGAGGCGTTCGTAAACCGAGGTACACCTGTAACTGTTCAGCTTTTTAATTAGTATCCTTAAGATTTTAAATGAATATGAATTTATTTTCAGAACCTTTTCGGCCAATAGGCTGCTTTCACCCTTAGTTTTTTTTTTTTTGTTTTTTGCATTTTTTTCAATTTTTGATGAAAAAAAAACAAACATTAAAGTGTCAAAATACAAAATCCACTGCAAAACGGTCAAAAGATGTTGCATTTTTTTTATGCGTTTTAATCTGCCCAGTGACAAGTTGGCCCAAAAAATTCAAAACGCAAAGCGCATCAAAACGTACTTGCAAAAACACAAAACTGACAAAATGCAAAACTGCATTGGTGTGAACCAAGCCTGAAATGCGTTGAAAACTCATAAAACGCACATGTTGAGTCACATGACCAATGAAAAACTCACCCTAAACATGGTAAAATCACAGCCAAAATTGCACATTGCAGTGCCGTTATTGCCATTTTTTTTTCCTATTGGCAAAATGCTGATAACACTGTGTTCAGCCAGTACATTTCAGCTGCTGGTATATCGGTGCATCCCTACTGTTTAGTCACCATGCGACCACCCATGATTGACAGCAGCTCCCAGCAAGATAATATGACCCTTCAGGGATGTGCACACAGGGGAGCATTCTTCCCCATTGTGTGTGATGTAATTCCCTGCCTGTTATGTACACACATACCCTGCTAGGAGAGACAGGAACTGAATGTGGCTGTGTAGAAAATTAGAATTTGTTTTTTGTTTTTTTTTAACCAAAGAAAATGATTACCGTAAAATATTACTATGTACTGTTTTACAATGGACTTTTCTGTTGCCTAACTGACTTGGTATCAGTCTCTTGCAGTCTGAATAAAGCTAAGTGCAGACTGGGGGAGGATTGAGAAGCAGCACGGTCAGTTCATGTGCTGACGTGAACAGGAGTAGGAGAGAGCAGAGTGACAAGAGGAGCTCAGTGTGCTGCTTCTCCTTCACAGGCCAAGGATGGGGATGGAGAGGAGACCTATCTCAGGGCTGGCAGAACTGTATAAACCTCAGAGCTAGATGGACAGATGTACAAGTCCTTTTGGCAGACAAAACCGCTCTAAAATATGTATTTCAGTTGGGCTTTTTAAACTGTTTGCCTGCCAGCGTTAATGTGTTTTTGATTTTTTTGTGTGAGCGGCAATTTAGAACCTAACTAAGCTACTCCCACCTCCTTTCTAAACCTATTTTATCTACCTGCTTATTCTGAAGTCACTCTGGTCTGGTCATATGACCTCTCCAGCACTGATTTCAATGTAGAGGTGAGATCACCAACAATGGCTGCAGGACCTGTGTGATTTCACCTATAGGCTTACAATGGGGCATCCCTGGTCGGCTGTCCCTCTGCCCTGAAGCCGGCACTGAAAGCACCCTCCACTTCCGTAAGTGTACAGACAGATCTTTCCTTTTACACGGGAGATAAAATAGGCTTAAAGCTGGTGGTGGGGGATTAGATTTAGGCTTAATTAGGGTTTGACTTGCCTTCCATTTTAATTCAAAAGTGGATTTTGCCTGTATTTATTTAATTTATTTTTATTTTTTTCAGAACTGGTTGAGAACTTTGATGAAGCCTCAAAGAATGAATCCGTCTAAACTGAAACCACTATGGAGCTTAAGCTGAACAGAGCTGCTATTTTATATTGTGACTTAACTATTTGTGCTTTGTTTCTGACCTGATGAGATTAAAGTCGAATTCCTTTAATATGCCCAATATGTAGCAGCTCGCTTCAGTCACTTTCTGTGCAGACCCCTTGCGGCCAAGCCGAACTGAAGACAACTAGAAATAAATATTGATCATACGATAAACTTGACTAAGGTGTGTGTTTAGTGTTCTGTATCGTTCATGGGATTGGCTGATATCCCAATGAGCACCATGGCTTATTTACTCTCTGCAAACATTTTTGGCGTTGGACATGGCATAATATTGACACTGTAGTTATTCCAACATCAATACATGGGTATTGTGTATCTTCTTGATTCTTTGCAGAGATAAAGGCACAGCAAAAAAGTTACACCGATCTGTCGATTGTACAGTATAGTGTCTCTCTGAGACACAAAATGCATATGAAAGCAAATTCATACTTTAAGACCTAAGCTAATGCTAAAAACAGGTAAAGTGCAACCTTCTATATAAAAAATAATGGTTTCCATATAGAATCGGTTATTAAAACTGAGGCTTATTTTGGGTGCCTAGATTACAGACAATGTGTGTGCCAAAGTCTGAAACATACAAATGTTAACATATACAACACAATAAATGCATTATGTGAACTAAATATTGTGTGATTTGTGTGCACCACTTGGCAGAACTGTTGTACTGCATGCAGCTGTGGACTTTTGTAAAAAGAAAAAAAAAAGCTTGCCAATAATTCCATCCTCTGCATTTAAGGACACAAGAAAAATAAAGGGGGTGGACTCATGCTCTGCCAAAGATATAAAACCGAAGAAGCTGCTGACACCTAACTAGACTAGAATGGATGAAACAAGTAGATTACGTGTAGCGCTAATACCATGTGATAATTGACATTAACAATTAATAAAGGACTCGATATTAAATAGGTGAATACATAAATTATATGAATAAATATTTAGGTGTACAGTGGTACACCTAATGTGTATCCCAAAAACATACCATCAAGAATGTGACTAAATATAAGTGATAGGTGATTTAAGTGAACAAATATTAACCAAATATAAATACATGTGATCATAAATAAACAATATTCACAAATCATATAGCACAAAGTCCCAAACTTTTAACTGTGATGAATCAATCTTCAACTGTGAAAATGAATACGTGCTCAAGTGCATCAGACCATCTGTCACCGTCTAGCGTGCATGCTTACCTCCAATCTTTGACCCTCCAGGAGTCATAAGGCATAACAAATCACCAGTTAGTCCCAGTTGGGATGAATCTCACTCTCTGGATGGACACAGGATCAGCTTCCACACAGTCCTTAAGACACCTTTACAAAACTCCTCCACTCTTCCAATGGCTCATAAACAGGGAATCGGAGAAAAAGCCACCATATTGTAATAAAGTAAAGTTTATTATACCATATGCTTGCATAGGGAGTCCAAAGATGGCTGCCGTCCATGCATAATTGCGTCACCACACTCTAGTCGGACGTTGCGTCACAATAACACTTCTCCAGGGATCACATAGTCACGTTCTTGATGGCATATTTTTGGGATACACATTAGGTGCAACACTTTACACACATTTATTCATATCATTTATGTATTCACCCATTTAATATTGAGTCCTTTATTGTTTGTCAATTATCACATGGTATTAGCGCTGCACCACCTAATCTATTTAAGGACACAAGAAGCTATTAGACAGAATACAGTTTGATCAAGTTATGGAAAAGCCTGCATCTTATGTTTTCACTACAAATATTAACTGTCTGGAACTGATACTTTAGCCAATACCTCTACTGTAAATTGAGGGACTGAATAAAAGCCCATTTCAGTCACCTGCACTGGTCGGATTAGAAACATACACTGTCACAGCACATTATGCTTTAAAGAATGAAGATGACCACATACTGTTCCTTTACTCCGGGTGCTAGTGTACATGGGTATATATTGACAATGGAAAAACACTGGTAATTTTAGATCATTACTTGATTTATCTTAAATGTGTGCATTGGCTTTTTTTTTTTTTTTTATATGAAAGGATAAACACCACATATGATTTTGTCCAGGTTATCTTCTACAATGCTGACATACTAAAGCAGTTCACTCTGAATGAGCCCCTACAGCTCTTGTATTGACCTTTTGAAATGTCATATTAAATTCTTATTACAGGTACTTATATAGCACGGCCAATTTACATATATATTGTACATTGACATCAGTGCCTAACCCTTGACAATCTAAGGATCCCTAACTCACATTCAATCATACACATACTAGGGCCAAGTAACCTACCAGCATGTCTGGAGTGTGGGGGGGGGGGGGAGGAAGCCCACGCAGGCACAGGGAAAGCATACAAACTAGGCAGGTAGTGCTGTGGTTGGGATTTGAACTAAGGGCTGTAGTGTTGCTAGGTGGAAGTGTTAAGCACTTAGCCACTGTGAATGTGATGTCTTTGGCTAGAGCTACTCGGGCAATTAACTTTGCTACTGCGAGATTTAACTAGTTGCCAATTGACAGAACATAAAAAGCAATATGTTCCTAATGAGATGACTTGGTCACCAGTTTATCCCTAGACTAAAAAGCTTTAGAGATTGTCTTTAAAGAGCAACTTCAGTGAAAGGCCATAAAAAAAGAAAACCCTGCAGCGGCCACAGATGTTGGTGATGTCATTTAGGGAGTTTATTTTTAAAAACTGCCTGTATTTGTCATGTAATTCCTTAATATCCCTAATAGCACACTGCTCACCTGTGCTGTGTGTGCAGCCATTTTAGGTAAGGGCATGTGAAGCCACTGTTTGTTTCTTCCTGGATATGCATTAATACACAACACACCACCAGCAGGCCTTATAGCGTGATTAAAAGTAGTGATCTACGCTGCCATTGAATTGACATGACTTCTGGAGTTCTGGCCTGCAGGCGGTAATACGCTGGTCCCCGGCTGGTGCACTCCCTGCTAACTAACCCCCCCAGTGATGATTCTTTTTTTATGTGGCGTTAGCACTGTCAGTGTTGGACAATCAGAGGATCAGTGCTCCACCCTCTCAAGTACTGGGCGTGCCTCTCCACCCTGCTCCTCACTCTCATAGTTTGAGCTATTGTCTCCTGGACACACCTCTGCCTTCCTTCCCTACCCTCTTCCCTCTTGTAGAGTGGCTATAGCCTACAGACACGCCTCTCTGCCTTTCTTCCCCCGCCCTCTCAAGCACAGAGATCTCGGGATAAAAAAAAAAAAATTATCTGGAGACTCCTGGGATTTGTTATTTAGATATCCCAGGAGTCAACAGGAGAACACACTATGTAATTCACATACAGTAGATGAACACAGTAGGAAATAGGGCGAATTAAAAAAATAAAATAAAATCTAGAGATCTAAAAAACAATTGTCCTAGAAGGGAGAAAGGATTCCAAAAATAGGCTGAAATTCCATTTTAAGTTTTTTTCAAACAAATCAATCAATAGTGCCTTAGTTGCTCTTATTAGGTTTCTCCTAATGCCACAGGCATAACATCATTTTTAGTGTTTAGCTTCTAGCCTTTTTTTCGGACTAATAAAGCACAGATGTAGGCATACTTATTTTTCCTATCACGGATGTCTGATAAAAAAAAAAAAAAAAAAACTGCTGTAATCTTTGTATACGACTGTAAAATGCCATATAGACACAAACCTGCTCAAATCATTCATTCCAAACCATTGAAGGAAAGCTTTCTAATATTTTATTTTCCAGCACGAGTTATACAATTACTATCCAGTATTAACAGATTGTGTCACGTTTGAAATGTAGAGATCAGCAGCAGAGCCATGGCAGAAGCATGCTGTGCCCAGCATCCTCAGCCAGTGTCCTTTGTTGAAATTGCACAAAGTAGAGTTTAAACTTATCACCAATCTGAGCATTAAGTTGGCCATACACTAGTAGTCAACCACGCATTTGTACATTTGAGGACTTGATAAATGTAATTTGAAAAGGTGCATCAGAATTTTATTTGCCTTTAACATTTGATTTTGGAATGCATATAATTACTGAACAAAACCATTGGTTTGAAATTTGTTTGAGAAAAAGTTTCCAACCCGCTTCTTTAAATTTTCTTGTTATTGCATTTGAAAACGAATGCCAATTTGACAATTCAAAAATTGAATGGCTGGTCTTAAGTGCAAAATTTTGAAGAAAAGTCTACTAGTGTATGGCCAGCTTAAGATCAAATAAATACACAAGCAGAAGTTACCTTCAGTGAAAACCATGTTGGAATGATAGGTTTAGGGATTTTGGCTGCTGAAGCTACAGTATATGCAAATATGAATGAACTTGTTTGTATTCTCTATTGATCCTTTAAAAGAGAAGTTTGGGGGAAAAATCGGACTGCATCTATTCCCTGCCACCTCTAAGACCAAGATCTGAGCCATTCTTGGTCTTCAGAGAGCAGAAACTGTCAGTCTCTGGTTCTCTGCTCTACTCCTCCAGTGCTCACTGGATTGCCGGACTGTGGAGGGGGCGGGAGCAGTTGGCTCAGGTTGTCAGTGACATGCTGAGAGGCTAAGCCAGCTGCTGATTAGGGGTCTGGGTGGATCCCGAAATAAAATCCGAGATCTTTCCAGAGCCTGGACCAGATGAGTCACATCAGATGACAGTGGGATTTAGCCTGCTGTTGGCTGAAATCAGGTCACGGGAGTGCAGAACTAAGTGCACTACTGTGATTCATAGGAAAAGGTGGCCAAAAAAGAGCTTTGGCCATACTTCTCCTTTAAGGCCCTATTTATACTTGCAAATAGGGCCATTTGCAGCTAGCTGTGGGAGTTCCCTGCGGTTAGCTGCGGGCGGTAAGCCCTGTTGAAAGCAATGACAGCTACCGCAGAGGTCTGCATCCAGGGCAGGTTATTTGAAGGTAACCTCTGCATGTGGCTTCCGTCCCGCAGCTAATCACAGGAAACCCCCACTGGGTCTCCTGCAGCTATTCA